GGTCCTTGTGAAGCCCAGTCCTCTGTTCCCGGGCTTATCTCCATCGGTCGACTACAATTGGGCTTTATTTTGAGCCCATTTAGCTTTGCAGAGTATAATTCACGAAACAGAGGTTCTAGAGGTTTGAAGAAAGAAAAAGAAAGCGGAGAAAATTGGAAGAAGAGAAATACCGAAGATGCCGTGCCTTAATCTCTCAACCAACGTCAACCTCGAGAAAATCGACACCTCGGCGATCCTCTCCGAGGCCTCAAAGGCTGTCGCCAGGGTCACGGGCAAGCCTGAACAAGTGAGTTCTCCCTCTCTTAAACCCTAACCTCCCTAATTCATGCTATATTTCTTTTCTTATTCGAAATGAGTTCATGGGTTTTTTCTCTTCTTGATGCCATTGTACTGATTTAGTGACCGATGCGAGGAAGTGGGTTTTTGCTATCCTAGGTTATGAGTTGGTATAATGAGTTAGGATGAATCTGGGTCAATCTATAAGCTTCATTAGGAGATTTAGCTGACTTAGTACATTTTCAGAAGCTACAGGTTCCGGTATTTGATAAACTTGGTCCTAATTGAACTTTTTCGGTGAGTCGGAGAATTGAGAGAAAACCCATTTCCTCATGGGGTGATATTTTTCGAGAAGCTCGGTTATTTTGTATGACATGGGTTTAACTGCATCCTATGTAGTATCTTTGGTACGGTAAGCACAATGTTTGTTCCCTTTCTCAGTTCTTTAGTGTGCAACTAGACTTGTAAATGATCATTCTCCTTTAGGCACAGGGTGTGAAATTGGTAATCTAAATGTATTTACTTTGCTAGGGATAACTTAAGCTTTATCCTCTTAAAGCTCCTTCTGCTGCATCGAAACTCTGTAGTTGTGGTGAAGGGTGAGGATTTTGTTTTTACACTCCAACATAAACCTCCGCAAATTGAGTGTTCTTTTCATGGGTGAAACTACAGTGAGGATTGATACTTTAGATAAACATTGAAAAAAAACATTGATGGGTTGAATTGTTTTTTATTAAGACAGCTTCTTGGGAAAAAAAAGAATAAGAAAAAAGAAAAGGTTAAAATGACAAAGTGATTTTTTTTTCTTTTGGTATTTTTGTTGAAAACAACTTTAAGGTTTGTTAACAACTGAACAGTGCCTGCAAACACAAGTGTACGGCATATGCATTTGAGGTTTTGATTGCATTTTATTTTTATTCCATGCAAATAATTACGATAAAAGTTTTCTTGTTCATCTCCATCTCTTACTGTCCTTCTTTTGTCAACTTACTTTACTGGCGTGCAGCTTATAGCCTTCAATATTGAAGGCAATGACAATTTTTAGGAGAAAATTTGTGTTGGTCATATAACTATGCAGTTAAACTGATCTTATTATTATTATTATTAACAGTATGTGATGATAGTGCTAGAAGGATCCGTACCAGTGTCATTTGGGGGATCACAGGACCCTGCTGCATTTGGTACACTGGTTTCTATTGGAGGCCTGAATCCTGATGTGAACAAGGATCTGAGTGCTGCGATTGCTGCTATCTTGGAGACCAAGTTGTCCATTCCTAAGTCACGTTTCTATCTCAAGTTTGAAGATACAAAGGCAAGTCATATAAATTAAGCCACTCCATTTAGTATCTTGTTATGCATTTCTTTTTCTCATTGCAAAATCTTATGGTTCTTAGGCCCATCAAACTCAAGAACATGCTCAGTGTTTACATGCTTCCCATCAGCTATAGGTCATGTATTGTGTAAATATTCACTTATTATTTAAATCATGTGGCACTTTAAGATTTTTGACTGATTGGCAACTATACTATCTTCAATTAAATTTCTCTTGACCTTAAAGTTATAGCTGGACTACTCAACGTTTATCATTGTCCTCCCAACTTAAAAGGTACTGATTCTTCATACTGTCTTCTGTGCAGCGTTCATACTTTGGGTGGAACGGGTCAACTTTCTAGATATGTATTTCCCTTGGCCTAAATATTTTGAATCCATATGTCATGATCAAAAGACCTAAGCTTTTACTCTTTCAGAATATCAGCCTCTGCGTCAGGAACTAAAGATTGTGTTGATTTGTAATGCTATTTCTATACCCTTCTCTCATTTTAATACTGGTACAGTAAATGCAAGTTTCTTAAGTTTTAGTATGGTTTTGCTCGTAATTTTGAAAAATTTGCAATCGATCTGATACTGGTGTGGTTGTGATAAGATAGTTTGGTGCATATTTGCACTTAATAACATACTGAACCCGTGCTTGGTTAATGTCATATTTATAGCTTTTGATGGCACTGAAAACGAGGTTATTCTTATGCTTGCGCTTATGGATGTTTCTTCGAAGAAAACGTGGCTAGATTAGAGAATCATATTCAGATATTTCTGCTTACGATCTTATAGTATCTGTGCCTTATTTTTTGGCATGTTTGCTATCACATGACATGCTTATTATATAGAAGTATCTTTTCTTTTGTAGAAAACCTTTCAACCTGCTGGGCAGCGGCTGCAGATACCGATCCTTTCAGTCGATCGTATGTTGGTCATGAATTACACGATTAGTGTTTTTTAATTAAATCTTCGGAATTTTTTTCTGACAGTATCTTGGTGGAAAACTTTCAGCTCATTTTGGTCAATGGACTATGGAAGAAAGTTAGCATTCAAGAAAATTTAAAAGAAATAAAAAGAAACAGGAGAGATTGATGCACATTGAAAGTAGGAAACAATAAGAGGTTTTGCACATTGGTTTAGCTTATACTAGGTGTATACTGCTGATTTCATGTGAAATTGAGTTGGTTTTTGGTCTTTTAGCCTTTTAGGCACTCTTTCATCATTGTTTGGCATCCTAAGAGTTTTCGGTTGCTTTTTATTTTATTTTTGTAAGAAATGACAAAATTTTTAATGCTTAAATTAAAGAAAAATAACTTGAGCCAGTTATCAGCATCCTGAATTTTTTGATGTTTTCCTTATGTCTTGAGCTCTGCAATTCATTTTTGTGCTTTAAGTTAAAGTGGGCACCAGATTTCTTACTGCGACTTTCATGTGAAATTGACTTGGTTTGTTATGTTATGTGTCACTCCTTCGTCAACCTTTGGCATCCCAAGAGTCTTTGATTGCTTTTGTTTATAAAAGAAAATTACAAATGTTTTTTAATGTTTAAATTAAACAAAAAAAAAAAAACTTGAGCCAAGTTATCATCTATTTCAAGGAACCTTTTGATGTTTTCCTTATGTCTTGAGCTCTGCAATTCATTTTTAAGCTTTTAAGTTAAAGTGGGCTCCAGAATCTTCTCCGAAGGTGTTAGGGAATGAGATAAAAGGCTAACATTGTATTTTAAATTTAGATAGAATGTAGTTGTGGCTGTAAATCCTGGTAACTAGTCAAACCATTTTAAACAATAATCCTGGTTAACAAGTTTGACATTGTTTAGTGGCTTTCTTCAACTATGTTATTCTTTTTTATTAGGAGTTATCTGACTTCAAATTAACCACACCATGCAATTTTTGGGTTTTTGCATAGAGCATGACACATCACGT